GAAAGTCGTGATCAGCACCCCGAAAACCCCGTCACACCCTCACCCAGGGCTGCGGAGTCGGAGTCGGAGTCGGAGTTGGAGTCGGTCGGAGTCGACAGTTCTGCCCGGAGTCGGAGTCGGAGTCGGAGTCGCAAAAATCTTACCGACTCCGACTCCGGAGTCGGAGTTAACGCTGCATGGCTCAACGTCAATTTGATTTGACGTTGAGCACCTGTTTGATTGACGATACTGCGATCGAAATTAGATTTTGTCGAAAAAGGCCATTTTGCCGTTTTGGACAAACGTTTTCAGCGAAAGATGCAGAAGACGGTGAAGTCCCCAGAGCCTGCTTCTTAATTCTGCATGCATCTTTAAGGCATAATTGCAACGCATAGCCTTGGAACGCACAAGCGATGGTTTCAGGCAAGATATTAAAAAATAAAAACATCTCCGTTATGAACTTCAATATCATTATATGGATTTCAATAGAACCGTCCGGAGTCGGAGTCGGAGTTGGAGTCGGAGTCAGAGTCGATTTTTGAAGCCGGAGTCGGAGTCGGAGTCGGAGTCACCCTAAAATCCATCGACTCCGCAGCCCTACCCTCACCTTAACCCTCGCACGACCAGGCCATTTCTCATAACACGAACGACCAGGGGGGGGGGGTTGTTACGACCCCCCCCCTGGCGTTTCGAAACGGAAGGTCGTAGAGCTTAGCGGAAAAAACCAACGGATTGCTCTCAACGAGATCTCGCGATTGGTGGTATATTTTTTGGTCCTCGGTCAACATTTGACCTACTTATGACCGGTCAAATGTCAAATTTTCCGAAAAAATCAAACTTTTTCAACTTTCCGCGGCGATTGCGGCAAAACAGTGGGAGATATCGACTTGAAACCTTCACTATCGTGTTCCTTGATCAATTTTCTATCGTTTGGTATGTATTTCGTTTCCCTAGCTCTAAAAATGGCGCGTTGGGAGCGCCGGAAGTCGGCAAGGTCACAGTCGGCGGCACCGCAGAAATTCGAAAAATCAAAATTTAAATTTTTGAAATCTGATTTTATTTTTGGATTTGGGAGGTCCATTTGCTCCCTATAGAAGCTAATATTGCTGCATATTCCCATTGAGGTGACAAGAATTAGCAAAATAGTGGTTCGGGCGCTTTTCAAAAATAGTACCGGACGCTGTTCCTCTTGTGACGTCATAGCTCCGTGACCTGACCTGACCCGGTCAATTTTCTTGCACCACACGATAGCCAATGCTTGCCCCAACATGCATGGGAAGTTTCATTATGATCCATCAAACAATGTGGGTATCACCGGCAGAAAACCTAGGGATTCGGCGCACACGTTTGGTAACTGTCGGTCGGAGGCTGTACCTCTTATGACGTCATAACTCCGTGACCTGACATGACCCGATCAATTTTTTTTTCGGCAAAAGATGCGCAAAGGTTGCCCCAGAGGGTATTGAAAATTTCAGCCCGCTACGACAAGCCGTTTAGCGTGCACTTCGAAAAAACCTCAGGGGGGGGTGATACAACCCCCCCCCCCCTAGGCGTTCTAGGGTTAAGAAGTTCTAGCAGGTCCCGATTTCCCCGACTTTTGGGTCATTGACCTGAACTGGAAGGTCAACAAATGAGCTAGAACTATAAAATTGGGTATCATCGGCATCCTCTCATCACGGGAAGTACCTACGCTCGCTTTTCCGCGACGCTCTAGCTTTATCAGGGGTTGAACGGCAAGGGGTCCAACGGAGCCCCTCTCCGCTATAGGTTTGTACATTCGCGGCTGGCAAAACACCAATACGGGCGAGGGTTCTGGTATGAAATGCCCTGAGTTGTTGAAACGTTTTGACTTTCGAAGTTAGCTTTTTTAGTATTTTTTCAAATGATTTGGCTAATATTTGGTTTGGTAAGGGTGTCCTAATTAGGTAGGCCTGTCTGTAATTGAAAAACCAGTTTTGATGGATGTCCGGCATTATTATGTCGGGAGCCTTGCTCCCTTGGCGTTATTTAGGTATTCAGGCTTCAAAGTGTGTGCACTCCATGACCTCATTGCAGCTGGTCGCTCACGCCCACCGGAGCAGCGCGGTCACAGCTCAGCGGAGGCCGGAGCTCAGCTGCCGCCTGAGCTGCCGCGACACTAGCGCCACCGACCGGCCTGCCACCTGGCGCAGCAGAAAGGAACTACTGACTTCGACAGGGCGCATCGGTGCTTGGCACCGGAGGAAGGTTTTCGCATTGTTAATAGCATATATAACATAAACACTGAACAGGTAGTTCATGTTATCTATGCCAACAGTTTTCACTCTGAGGCTCCCTCGACATGTATAATGCATTGAGCAGCTCTGCGACCATTTTTGGCGACGTTATTTGCCTCAAAACAAACGCCTACCCTAGGGCACTTATAGACACATGACCTCTTAGATCACCCGTTGGCCTCAAACCTCAAAGTCAGGTACAAATTACTGTTTCTCCTACCGGTGCACGCATACCGCTTCGGCATTTTGCATCCTCAGGAGATTAGAGTTCGTCCCTAGATCGTTAAAGATCTAGATCTAGAAAATTCCCTGATCCGGGCTGGACGGTCATCTTCATCCGACATGAGTTGGTTCCCGGGAACAGGCCCATCGTGCGTTGGGGTGACCGTTTGTGGGGCTGGTTGGCTTGTCCACGTGATGGGCTTAGCCCCGGCGGTGCTCCAGCGCCTGCTCGAGCAGACTAATGACTCCCCCTAAATCCTATCACATCTTCTCGTCTGAAAATGTCTCGTTACACGGACAGGGCCTCGTCCTAAAAAATGATGATAACGGCGCAAAAGTTTGTTTTTTCCCCGCGATCCTCGAACTCAGATAGGAACGAAGTGGCTAGGTGTGTCTCATCCCATCCCCCTCTTGACCGTACCCACGAACATTTTATGAACGCTCATGAGCTGTCCGCTGTATATGTTATAAAAAACAAAATCATTTAAATTCGGCCGATGATGTGTCTTGCTCGTGAACACTGAACCCGTCTGTTTCTGAGCAGTGGGCCGATGGAGCCCCGCACAGCCCGTCCCGGGGCCGGTCGGTGGCGAGCGCCGCCGCCGCAGAGCTATGGATCGGCGCGCGCTGGCGGCGGCGGCGGCGGTGACCGCTCCGCCGCCGCCGCCGGCGCCACTCGGCACTGACGCTCGGCGCCGCTCGGACCAGCGGCGATGACGGCCGCGGTGCTGACGCCAGAGGAGCGTCCGTCCCTCTGCGAGGTATGGCGCCGCGCCGCGGCCCAGTTCGCCTCCGATACAAACCTGGCCGGCGTGAACAACGCCAGCCGCGCGCGCCACCCACTGCGCCGGCTGGTCTGGTGCTCCCTCTGGCTGACCGGCCTGGTCGTGTCGCTGAACGATGTCAGCCTGCTGGTCAGTGACTTCCTGACCTACCCGGTGTCCACCTCCTACTCGATCGCCTACGACAGCGCCGTCACCTTTCCGGCCGTCACCGTCTGCAACCAGAACAGCGTCATGTGCACCGACCTGATGCAGCAGCTGTTCGCAGAGCCCGACGACTCCCTGATCCTGGATCTCGTCCAGAGATCGGCGTGCCTCTCACTCATTCCGGGCCTGTGCATGCCTATGAAGCTGATGTTCTTCGAGTTGGGCACGCTTCCCAGCCTGCTGCAGAATACGAGCTGTTTCCAGTTATCGAGCGGAATATGCAGTGAGCTGGAAGAGTTTGGTGAGCAGAATTCTGTCAACATCAGTGCACATCTCGCTGAGCTGGGCTGCGGAAGCGAGACCCCTGGGGACAGTGCCGCGTCGTCCGAGCCTCTGGCGGCGATGGAAATCGGTAACGGTAGCGCTCAGGGATCCGAGGAAAGCAGCAAACTACGCCAGAAGAGGAGCATGGAAAGACGGTGGTGGAATCAACTAGTAGCACAGGTAACGGGAGCGCTTTAATAACTTATTTATACGGCATTGAGTAGAATATGAAGAAACAGAGCTTATGTATAGGTTTTACTTTTATTTTAGAATTTTCATTCTTCATTGGTTTGTTCGAACTTTCGACTGTCTAACAAGTCGTTGAAGAGTTACAACCGAAAAGAATGAGCAAACCTTTCAACAGGGATGCGGAGCCGTGGAAATTTCAGACGGCTCCGGCTCCGGCTCCGGCTCCGGAGAAAAAAATCGGCTCCGGCTCCGGCTCCGGCTCCAGGTGAAATGTTATGGCGGCTCCGGCTCCGGCTCCGGCTCCGAGTAAAATGGTCCGGCTCCGGCGGCTCCGGCTCCGGCGGCTCAAGCTCAGACTCAGTAGATCCCCTACGCAATCAATTAAATACGGGTGGAAGAAAAATTGGATTGGTTATACGCGTTACTCTGCCATGACCGGCTCACCGCGTCCCCGCGCAAACGCACCTCGGAGAGAACTGGCAGAACAAAGGGCTAGGAAGCGATGGCATTGGAAACGCAGTCGCCGCGAATCGGAGTTCAGTGAACCATCGTAAGCTGACACCCGTCTCGGCTGCATTGGGGGGTGAGGGGTGGGGGGTGTGTGGGATGAGACGTTGCTGGGAGTCGCAGTCCACTGCGTACTGGTTTGAAAACAATGGCCGTCACCTGATGACTGGTCCTCATGTTCTGGGGATGCAGTAGACGTGGGGGGGGGGGGGGAAGAGCACACAGGAAGTTGTTTGCGTATTGTGGAATACTGGGGATATTCGGATTTTTTCATTCACTTGATGGCCCATGACGTAAGTACCATATGTTTTACTGCCTTGTACTGTCAAACCGAACTAGGTCAATTATTTTTTTTCCTCTTCAAAAAATAAAAAGGAGCCGGAGTCGCACCCTTTTTTGGCGGCTCCGGCTCCGGCTCCGGCTACGGGCTATATTGTTTCACGGCTCCGGCTCCGGCTCCGGCTCCGGGCAAAATATGCCGGCTCCGGCGGCTCCGGCTCCGACTCCGGCTCCGGCTCCGCATCCCTGCCTTTCAACCATGCGTGTTCAGCATTGATGGGACATGGGCTCAGCGATTTTCCTTCTTTCTAGGGGAGAACGGCAAGTAATCGAAGGAAGAGAGAGGTCGATGCTTCGGAATATGAACAACCAGAGTAAGCAGGCAGTTAGCTAAATGAAAAGTTAATCATTTAAAGTAATGACAGGTCAGCCAATCATTATTGCAGCTAATTTCCAGTTTCCAACTACATGCACATATTTGAAATGCACAAATGGGGTTGGGGTCACATATGTAGGTGACTAATATAAGCAACGTTATCTGTGAGATAAACGAGAAGCCAATTCAATATCATTTTTTCAGCAATATGTTATTGAACATTGGGAAGGCCGCCACACAATTAGCATAAGAGTAATAACTTTTTATTTATTTCTACGTGATATTTTGAGGAGATGAACCCTATAATTCCTACTTTTCAGGATGGGGGTCGACGCCGACTATGACAAAAGAAGAGGATTTTATCGCAGTTTCATGAATGTTTCGCTGGGGACGAGGCTGGAGATGGGGCAGAGTCTCAATTCGCTCATCAAGAGCTGCACCTTCAACGGACGGAACTGTCTGAACTCAGAGTAAGAACTCAGAACGGCGCTAGACTAGAACCTAGAGATATACGCGTTATCAGCTACGACCAAGGAAATATACTGCATCAAAATGCGCTAAACAATGTTAGTTTGAATTCCAAGCTAAGTGTAAATTCAGTCATACGGAAAACTTGGTAGCCGATCGACGCATCCAATGCAAGGTACCAACTTCTCAGCGATTAAAAAGTTGTGGTATTCAGCGATCAGCTCGCTTTAGCCACCACGCATAAGATCTCAATGGCGGCACCTTGCAGGTTTTTCGGCGTGCTCTCGACGCCCGAGTACGGCAACTGCTTCACCTTCAACTCCAACATCAGCTCTGCGGCGGACCGCGAGGCCGGTCAGCGGGTCGCCAGCATGGTAGGACCCAACACCGGTGAGAGCGACTCAGATCATGGGGCAGCCGCCCTGTTGGAATTGCCGCATTGTATTGACGGAATTGAGAAAACCACAACATTATTGTAAATTAATGCATTTTAACGTTTACAAAACCTATACATTTGTGGCAATTATGATTTAAAACACCAATCATTTTGCAACAGGTAACCTTGAAAAGGAATTATGATGTGATGACAGCAAAACATAGAGAGGTTTGGATCTACATAATTGTATGCTTGAAATACTTTTTGGCAACCTGAACTCTACGGAGATAAGTATTATAATGCGAGAGGACAGAGGCTTTTGCTCGACTTTTCTCGGTTCTGGCATCGCTGATCGACTCTCCCTTCTCTCTCTCTCTCTCTCTCTCTCTCTCTCTCTCTCTCTCTCTCTCTCTCTCTCTCTCTCTCTCTCTCTCTCTCTCTCTCTCTCTCTCTCTCTCTCTCTCTCTCTCTCTCTCTCTCTCTCTCTCTCTCTCTCTCCCTCTCTCTCCGCAGGTCTCAGTCTGGTGCTGTTCGTCGACACCAACAACTACATGCCGTCGACGGTGTCACAGACGCGAGGTGCGCGCGTGGCCATCCACCCCAGCGACGTGACGCCGCTGATGGCCGAGACCGGCATGGAGGTCAGCCCGACCAGCCTCACTTCCATCTCTATCATTGAGGTGAGCGAATCTCACCCCCGACCGGTACCACACCGACCAGTCTCACATCAATATCCATCACTGAGGTGAGATCAACCCCATCAACATCATTTTGTAATATAATAGCAAAAGAGAAGATCCCATCCATTTTAGTTTAGAAGACGCACACAAATTATCCTTGAATATCTTCTTGTTTTCAATGGGAAAACAAATACAGGGGTAAAGTATTTCATTAGAACGAATGGCGTTGCAAGCAGAAAAGTATTCACATTCGAATGGTTACTTGAGAAGCAAAGCAAATAAAAGCACGGTCAAAACAGTAAAAGCCCTTATAATCTCGTCGTTCCAAATGACAATTGTACGTGTTGAGACTCGAGTGTGCCAACTGTACGTTGACCATACCGATGTCCGACAGACCCGTATCGTCCGTATGCCGTATCCGTACACGTCTCACTGTATCTCGACGTGGGCTGATTCCGGTCTGGAGCCGTACGGAGTCGATCCGACCACCGGAGCCGTCGGCCCTAGCCAGGCGCGCTACACGCTCGCGGTGAGACGCCTGACACACGCACCACTGACACTGCACAGTGCACTGGACACTGAACACTGCACAGTGCACACTGAACACTGCACAGTGCTAGTGCACACTGAACACTGCACAGCGCACATCTGGTCTCAGCTGGGCGCGCTATTCTCGCGGTGAGTGGTCTCAGAACACACCTAATTCAATATACCCTGCATCAGTTGTACTTACAGTTACACATACACACCTATGTGACATGACACGTGCATATCAGTCTGAGGGCCCGCGCTCGGTGAATTTGTACCACCACGTCAGGCGTCTAACTAGTCGGTCTTGTAGGAATCTTGACTTCTCCTTCTCGCTCGGAGACAAAGAGCGCTCAGGGCTGCGCCTCCTCCACCAGTCAATTAGTTCTGAGCGTTGCTTTGTCTCTTTGAAATGTCACTTGAACGTTGTTTCTACATACTCTGATTTTAGATTAATTATGCCCGGGCACACAAAGCTCTTGGATGGATGAAGTTCTTCATCCATCTAAGGGCTTTGTGTGCCATCTTCGTCTTCTTCATCATCTTTATCATATATTCTTCAACTTCTTCATCATTCATACATCACTTCAACGTCTGCACCGAGATATTGCTATCCAGCCGCATTTTATCTATTCCATGTATTTGCAGGAGTGTAACAGGATGTGCCTGCAGCACCACCTGGTGAAGAACTGCGGCTGCCACGACCCGCTGTACCCGCTGGAGTTCACTGTGGACGGTGAGCTGCAGGACGTGGGACCCGCCTGCGACCTCTCCTTCGGCAGTGAGTGAGACGGCGGCGTCCCCAGCGGCGCGCGCCGGGTGACTAAATCTGGTTGTTGCATTGTTGATAATGGCACGGCCGGGTGTGTGACTATCGCATTTGTAGCAACTTTAGGGCAGAAGCCGGAACGTCCTAACTATTTTTCTCGGCAGCACATGACAATATCCATAATTTTGCTTATGCGTGAGCAAAATGAGCGATTTTCTGTACTATACCTGTGCCGTCGATTTCAGCAGCTCGTTATAAGTAATTGCTAGTGGTATCTGAAAAGTATAATTCGTTTCTTTTTCTTTAGCATGCTATAGGTACTCAATCGTTTCTAATTCCAGATTACCCTCAATGTTACGAATAAACAGATTTTAGGAAAAACTGTAATTATGCTTCCAGGAGGACGTCCTATGCAGGCAACAGGTTAGTAGCCTTATGTTTATTTGTATTGTTTCGTGTTGTTTGCAGCGGTGGACTCTGGATGCTCGACAAACGTGACTGAGGCGCTGGCCCTGTCCAGATCGGAGTACTGCACCTGCTCCAGCCCCTGCTAGTGAGTCAGACCCCGCCCCTGCTAGTGAGTCAGACCCCGTTCATTCAATGATCAGCTGTTCAATACGAAAATGACATTGATAAAATAACTTGAACATCGTGCAAGGAAGCACATCGAGGGACATTGGCAGTAAGTACTTCATTTCTTATTTGTTGTTGACGCCGATTGCCTTACACACGAACTAAGGCATTTAGCAAATATGTTCTGCCATTGCCGGGTAAACCGTTTCCCGTCTGTTCGTTTTCAGTGAAACAGTGTACGAGCCGCAGCCTTCGGTGGCCTCGTGGCCTCAGGGTGAATACCTGGGCACCCTCCTCGAGAAGCTCGACTTTCTGCAGCACACGAACTTCACCACCGCAGAGATCGCCGAGGCCTGGGGCAGCGAGTTCGTCAAGCTGAACGTCTACTTCCGTGACCTCAACATCGCCTCAATCACGGAGAGCGCCACGTACACGGTAAGTACCAAAGTATAAAGACCAATGTAAGAACGTACGTACAATGTAAGTAAGTACACTGAGAGCACGCCGCCAACACACTGCTTAAGTGTCGGGATCGCTGCTGTTTCTATGGAAGCTTGTCGCCGATACCGGGTAGTGTCGGGAATCTGCGTGCCGTGAAACATGACCCCGCTGTACTTGTATTCGAGTAGGCGACAAACTGGACACTTGTGTGCTGGCAGGGCGCCCATTTGCACTTTAATCCTATATGAATGGCCCCATGTTGCAGTACTCGACGTTCATCAGCAGCCTGGGCGGCGCTCTCTCCCTCTACCTCGGTATCGCTCTCATCCTGCTGGTAGAGTTGGCGGAGCTGCTGGTTTTCCTGGCGTGGGACACGGCCCGCTTCATGTGCGGCTACTACCCCCTCGACGGCCACTCTAGCAGCCAGGTGGTGCCCGGTAAGATTTCACCCAACACCCTGCGCCGGATGCTCATTGTCCTCGTGATGGGCTCAGCCCCGGCGACTCACCAGGATGCCCGCCCAGACCAATGTCTCTCCCTAATTCCCATCATCCTTGAGGCTCTGCAATGATCTTATTAGACCGAAAGGGTCTAGCCCAACAAATCAAACAAACAAATATTTCACATGTGTCATTTACCATGTCACTTTTACTTTTGTTCAACATTTGCATGTTTGTAATTCAGATTCTTCCCCTTGCAGCGGAGAAGCGAGCCGTGCGGGTTGTTTTCACAGCCCCGGAGAACAAGTCTGCAAACAAGCTACACACCAGCCATCGAATGATGGAGACGCCTGCAACTCAAATAGAATAACTCTGACCAGGACTTTATCCGATCCAATTATAAGGCAATCTAATGCCTCGTATTGGGCAGTACGGATAATTTTGGTGAAACGAAAATAACTCGTAAGTTGATGACAACTGTGTCTTATTCTCAAGCTCAGATTATTGTAAACTAGCCCTCGCCCATGTAGGGGGGGGGGTTGGTGCAACCCCCCCCCCCCCCCTGAGGCTTTTCGGAAATAGTGCAAAAACGGCGGCGCGCAGCGCCGCCAAATTTTGGGTACCTTATGGGGCAAACCTTGCGCATCTTTTGATAAAAAATTGACCGGGTCATGTCAGGTCACGGAGTTATGACGTCACAAAGGGAACAGCCTCCGGCCGGATTTTCACAAACTGAGTGCCAACGCCCGAGCTTTCCTGCCGGTGGTACGGACATCGGTTGATGGATCGTGATGAAACTTCCCATGCATATTGGGGCAAGTATTGGCTATCATATGGTATAAGAAACTTGACCGGGTCAGGTCAGGTCACGGAGCTATGACGTCACAAGAGGAACAGCGTCCGGTACTATTTTTGAAAAGCGCCCGAACCACTATTTTGCTAATTCTTGTCACCTCAATGGGAATATGCAGCAATATTAGCTTCTATAGGGAGCAAATGGACCTCCCAAATCCAAAAATACAAACAGATTTCAAAAATCTAAATTTTGATTTTTCGAATTTCTGCCGCCGACTGTGACCTTGCCGACTTCCGGCGCTCCCAACGCGCCATTTTTAGAGCTAGGGAAACGAAATACATACCAAACGATAGAGAATTGATCAAGGAACACGATAGTGAAGGTTTCAAGTCGATATCTCCCACCGTTTTGCCGCAATAGCCGCGGAAAGTTGAAAAGGTCTATTTTTCCGAAAATTTGAACTTTGACCGGTCAAAAGTAGGTCAAATGTTGACCTAGGACCAAAAAATATACCACCAATCGCGAGATCTCGGCGAGAGCAATCCGTTGGTCCTTTCCGCTAAGCTCTACGACGCTCCGTTTTCAAACGCCAAGGAGGGGTCGCACCAACCCCCCCCCCCCCCCCCTGCATGGGCGAAGGTGGCAGATCGCCGTTTACGGGCGAGGGCTAGTGTTCAACACAAACGTTACTTCGCACATGTCTTGCGGCTTTCAATATTCGGTTGACGCCATGCCTCAACTAAATATATGTCTTGTGCCTAGGACACGTTATACTACACGGAGCAGACAGCGCTTTGTGTTTCAGAATATTGCAGCCGATACGAACCGCAAGGCTAGAGCGGTAAACGTCGTTTCTGTATTAAAATATAGGCAATATAAGAGACGTCGATCGGATATTACAATTGAAGACATGTAGGTTTGTAACTAACCGTGCAAGGAAAATAATTACCAGCATTCGCCTGCACGAAATCCCATTTGGCATGATCATGGTAACCAAATAATCCTCCCTCGAAACGGCAGCTGAGCGAGAAATGATGGCATCATTAGTCGATCCAGTGCCATTGGAAAGGACGCAAGTAAACGTGCGCCACACTAATTTGACGTCCGTTACACCGGTGCGCCAATGTCGCCATCAAACACTGCGCTGCCAACAGCAAACAGCGAGCGCCGCATAGCAAACGGCCGCGACACGCCGGTGGAGTTTGTAGCGGGCCGCGCAGGGCCGTTCTGTTGGTTCTACAGACATTAAGTCGCCTGTGTTATTACTAACGAGTGACGACCATTCAGAGATGTAGTTGGCTCTGTTGATACTGGTGGCTATTCAGATGTTGTAGGCGTTTTTCACGGCACGTTCCTCGCACGGCGAAACGCTCGGGTCGGGCGCGACAGACCGTGTCGGTTTGGCCCCACACGGAAACACTGTTGCTATCAACACGGGGACGGTCAAAAGCGTTCGGCGTGGGTTTATACTTATTGGGACCGTCTTATCGCTTCTTCGGCGTCATCCACTTCGGTCTAGCCACCTAAAATGTCTTTCTCGAAGGAATTCGGCTAACGGAGTCGACAGTTTTTCAGTAGCTCAGAGAACTCCGGCTTTGAAAAATAGCTTTCCACTCCGGCATCGATCATGGCCATTTCTTTTGAAGCGCTATCAAAGCAACTCACGTCTGTCAGTCCGCGATGATGTTGTGTAAGGAAGCGTGTACAGAAGATTGGGAATCGCAAGGCTAAGCTCGTCTGATCCACCCACGACTAGCTGCAGCTCCGAGCTTGCCGCACTGACTCTGAAACATGGCAAACTTTCCGACAAACAAAGATCACGACCTATGTAAATCAAAGCATCAATAACACATACAATTATATACAATAGCCGTTTTCAAGACGGCTATCTGGTACGCATTTGCTGCACATTGGACGCATATTTGGTCAAATTAGGTTTATAGTTATTTTCAGTAGGTTTTTAGCTTAGAAGCAACTGTAATTCATTTGAATTATTTGTCAAGTAATAAACGCTAATTTTCATTAACACTTTCCATGTTCACGTTAGTTTCCAGATGTCTCTACTGTACTGCGCCTGAATTGAATGAAATATGTGCGGCTTGGCAGCTTGGTAGGCCTATTATTTGTGATTACGGTCGTATTGCAGTTTGTATAATTTTCAATAGATATTTTCATTGTATTACTTTATTCTAATGTTTTATTGAAAATTAACGTGTGATAATTTGATAAGTATTCAAATAATCAACGATTGCCGGCTTAGCTGGAAATATGCTAAAAACAACTGTGAACCTAATTTGACCAAATATGCACCAGATGTGCATCAAATGAGTACCAGATAACCATCGTGAAAACGGCTAATAACATTCGCTTATTCGCTTTCTGTATGATCCAAGAAGTGTCGACTCTGACTCCAACTCGAATTCTAAAGCAGTAGGTAGTTCTGCTTTTAACCACAAATAAAAAAGAGCGAAAAACACGATGACCCTGATGCCGACCAGGGAGGCCTTTCAATAGAAGTACTGATACAGAGACCACAACGTCAATACCGTTACATTGTAACAATAACCCAATAAGTAACTGGAGCTGACGGTAGTAAATGGAGGTCGTAATTACTGATCGACATACATTTACTCCGCGCAAAACAGCAAACACCGAACTGCAAATGGTGTCGCTCCCGCTGAGGAAACGGACTAATTACTTACACGGAAGTGCTATATTGATTAATGACTATAATGCCCGCTGGCAGACGGCTGATCTACATATATAGTACCGAACACTGAAAACACTTTGGAAGAACGTTAAGAACGTACAGGGGTATTTAGACCCCTGTGGGGTAAAATGTTATGCCACCGTTTTTCAGAACCTCCATGGTTCTTCACGTAGACGGCTTTGCATTCTCATCAAAAGAATCCACACGATTCTTCCAAAGACTCTTATGAGGTTTAGGGTTTATAATAAGAGCGTTCTTAGCACCTAGATAAGAACCCCAAAGGGTCTGTGAAGAAGTCCCTGAGGTTTATAGGGAAACCACCCTGTGTTCTGAATATCGGTTGTAGAACCCTTTCAGTTCTATTGCAATACCGCAAAATCCCCGTTCATTCGTCTATTGAACCTCCCATGCATGGCTATCGACCTGCGCCGTCACATCTGCTGCGCAAACACAGTGCTTGATACACCTTAAAATGTATTACCTTCCTCTTTACTCTGAGCAATCAGCCTGCAAGTCTCCAGTCAGGAACAACCAGCCCGCAACCAGCCCATGCGATCAGCCCGCAACCAGCCCGCATTCAGTCTGCGATCAGCCCGCAATCAGCCTGCAGGAACGCTTTCCATTCGGCCGCGTCACTTGCCTTACACATCCAAGCCAAAGAACTCCAGGAGCCAAATATGAACACATTTTTAGCTTTAGCAAGTGGATGTTTTCACAAACACTGTATGTTTGCGCTATCGCCCATGTCAGCAGCCGGGTGGCGACATCGCATTCTCCCAAATCACATACAGTTTCTCCTTCCACCACCAGCCTCAAGCCAGCGTTTTCGACGATGTCGACGTCTCCGCGCTGCGCGCGCCAGGACGCTCTCCTCAGACTCCAGAGCCTCAATCAGAGCGGAGATGGCCTCGTCCCCTAGAATGAAGAGTCGGGCGGATGCGTTATTCAACAGGCAGGGAGTAAGAAACTTAGATTGACTTCAGACACCATGAGCCTACTCCAAAAATAAAATAATGCACTTGACATATAAAGTGCAGTATAGATAAAATATTGCACTAATCAGCGCGAACATATGTTTATTAAAATCAGCCAAATTTATACCTAAATCAATTGACCCCAAAATGGCAAGCTGATTCTATTCCTGGTTTATCTTCATTTGGAAGATTTGTCTAAATACCACATGCATAATTTAAGCTATGGGGCATTTATACAGCATATAAATACTTACTGCATTGATTGGTCTTGCATATGAATTGTCTTCATCCAATGCATTCATCCATGCATTTGAAGAGCGTTGTGATATTGCTTATTATGGTCAATCACAAGTAATATAAATAATACACAACACTTGACAAGCAAAAAATTAACCTTATTTCAGTTCTTCAATATTTGATTACTTGCCATTCACCCAATCTTGCACCAGCCGCTCGTCACTGCACAAAGCGTGATCCAACGCGATCGAAAAATGACGATCGCTTCCGGTGGACGCTAGAACGTGGTACCGCGGGCGTGGTCTTGATGAAAGCCATTACACTGATTAAACCACAACCCCTTCTTCTTAAACCCGATGCTAGTTCGTGCAAAACCTTCAAAGGGTTTATCTTTCGCGCGCTTGGTGTGACGTAATATCACGTGACTAGGGAGAACGAAGAAGAACCGGTGTTGGTCGAGTTGAAGCCCCCCTGGGGCCACTAAGATTGCACGCGAAGAAGCAGCACGTGTCTTCGGTCTATGTGAAACACTGTGTGTGTTCTTCATGAACCAGACGTTCTGCTTCGCCTCTAAGCCAGTTTACCCTAATACCCAAAAAACCTAAGTGTGGAATATTTTAACCGCGCACCGACGGGGGGGGGCGGATATCCGCCCCCCTGAGGTTTTTCGCGAATAGCGGGAAAACCGCGGCGCGTAGCGCCGCGAAATTTGGTACGACTATTCCCTCATCAATTTTACACATGGTGTGCAAGTTTGAA